CAACAAAAGTTATGTGAATATTCTCTCTCTTTTCTCAAAATATATTATTGTACTGTACCATGGGTAACTGTGGAAAGCAAAACTGCAGTTAAGAGGAGACCACTGTAAGGTCTTTGCAGATGTAATCAATTTATGATGAAGTTATACTGGATTAGAGTGGACCCTAAATCCAATGACTGTTGCCTTATAAGGAGAAAGAGACTTTCTCTTTCTCAGACACACACACAGAGGGAAGAGGACCATGTAAAGATGGAGACAGAGATTGGAGTTACACTGCCACAAGGCAAGGAATGCCAAGGATTGTCAGCAACCACCAGAAGCTAGGAAGAGGCAAGGAAGGACTCTTCTCTAGAGCTTTCAGAGGGAAAATGACCATGCTGACACCCTAATTTTGGGTGCCTGGATTCCATAGCTGTGAGAGAATAAATCTCTGCTGTTTTAAGCCACCCAGTTTGTGAAAAAATGTAGCACCCCTAGGGAACTAATACAACTTAGAGCAAGCATTGAGATTAAATTAGTAATTTATAAACTTCCATCAAAGAAAAGCCTATGGCCAGGTATCTTCACTGGTATATATATTTTTTCTTTCTTTTTTTAAGTAGAGATGGGGTCTCATGATGTTGCCCAGGCTGGTCTCGAACTCCTGGGCTCAAGCGATCTGCCCGCCTCAGCCTCCCAAAGTGCTGGGATTACAGGTGTGAGCCACCACGCTCTGCCTTCACTGGCATATTCTATCAGACATTTAAAGATGAATTAATACCATTTCTTCACAAACTTTTTCAAAGTATAGAAGAAGAGGGAAGACGTCCTTATTCTGTGAGGCCAGTATTATTTATACGAAAACCAAAGATATCACAAGAAAACTACAGACAAATACCATTTATGAGTACCAGCACAAAAAAGTCCTCAACAAAACATTAGCAAACCAAATTTTGCAACATATAAAAAGTGTTATATACCACAACCAAATGGAATGTATCCCAGGAGTGCAAAGTTGGTTTAACACCCTATCTATCTATCTATCTATCTATCTATCTATCTATCTATCTATATTTATTTATTTATTTTGTCTCACCCTGTCGTCCAGGCTGGAGCACAGTGGCATAATCATGGCTCACTGCAGCCTTGACCTCCCAGGCTCAGGAAATATCCCTGCCTCAGCCCCCAGGTAGCTGGGACTACAGGTGTGCACCACCATGCCCAACTGTTAATAATTTTTTAACTGATTTGTAGAGATGGGGGTCTCCCTCTGTTGTGCTCAGGCTGGTCTCAAACTCCTGGGCTCAGGCGATCCTCCTGCCTCAACCTTCCAAAGAGCTGGAATTATACAGGCATGAGCCCCTGTACCTGGCTGGTTTAACACTCTTACGTCAATTACTGTAATACAATGTATTAATACAGTAAGTGACACAGACCACATGATCATCTCTGTAGACACCCTCCAAAATGGCATTTGGCCAAATCCAGCACTTTTTCTTGATGTAAAAACAAACCCAACAAACTAGGAATAGAAGGGAACTTTCTCAACCTGAACTACAAAAACACCCAACTAAAAGATGGAACAGCTTCCCCCAAAATCAGGAACAAGGCAGGATGTCCACTCTCACCATGTACATCCACCGTTGTACATGAGGTTCTAGCCAGGGAAATTAGGCAATAAAAAGAAACCAAAGTCATTCACATTGCAAAAGAAGAGGTAAAACTGTCTCGGTTTACAGATGACATGATGATGTATATAGAAAATCCCAAGAAATCTACAAAACACTGTTAGAGTTTAACAAGTTCAGCAAGGTTCAGAATACCACATCATTTTTTAAAAAACATAATTGTATTGCTATACACTAGCAGTGAACAATATGAACATGAAAGTTTGAAAACTATTTACAGTAGCGTCAAAAAAATACAACACTTAGGAATAAATATAAAAGAAGTATAAGACTCATATGTTGTAAATTACAAAATATTGCTGAAAGAAATTACATGGAAAGACATGTTCATGGATCAGAAGACTTAAAATTGTTACCATGGTATTACTTCCCAAATTGATATGCGGATTCAGTGCATTTTCTACCAAAATCCCAACTGACTTATTTGCAGAGATTCACAAGCTGGTCCTAAAATTCATATGAAAATTTAAGAGACTTCAAATAGTCTAAACAATCTTGTAAAAGAAGAACAAATTGGGAGGATTTACACTTTACCAGTTTCAAAACTTACTATAAAACTACCTTGGGCAGCTTAATGTGATGCTGGCTTGAGGATAGATATATAAATAGTGGAATAGAATCGAGAGTCCAGAAGTAAAATGTATGGCCAGTGACTTTTGACAAGAGTTCTAAAACAGTTCTTTGGGGGAAAGAATTGTTTTTTCACCAAAAGGTGCTGGAACCAAGTGAGTATCCACATGCAAGAGAATGAGGTTGGACCCGTTCCTTATGCCATACACTAAATTAACTTGACATGTATTATAGGCCTAAAAGTAAGCCCTAAAACTATAAAATTCTTAGAAGAAAGCATAGGGTTAAATCTTCATGGCCAAGTTTTTTAGGTATAACATCAAAAGCACAAGTGACGAAAAATATATAGATTGGAATTCACTAAAATTAAAGCTTTCGTGCTACTAACAGTACCGTCAGTACTATCAAGTAATAAAACTCAAAGAATGGAAGAAAATATTTGCAAATCATATATCTAATAATGGACTTGTTTCAGAATATATCAAGAATTCTTACAGTGCAACAGTAAAATGGTAAATGACTCAATAAAAAATGAGCAAGGATCTCGGCCGGGTGCGGTGGCTCACGCCTGTAATCCCAGCACTTTGGGAGGCCGAGGCAGGTGGATCATGAGGTCAAGAGATGGAGACCGTCCTGGCCAACACGGTGAAACCCCGTCACTACTAAAAATACAAAAAGCCAGGCATGATGGTACGTGCCTACAGTCTCAGCTGCTCGGGAGGCTGAGGCAGGAGAATCATTTGAACCCGAGAGGCGGAGGTTGCAGTGAGCCAAGATCGCACCACTGTGCTCCAGCCTAGGCAACAGAGTGAGACTCCGTCTTAAAAAAAAAAAAAAAAAAATCAATGATCTGAATGGACATTTTTCCAAAGAAGGTATAATGTGCCAATAAGCACATGAAAAGATGCTCAACATCATTAGTCAATTAGGAAAATACAAACCTTAAACCATGAGATGTACCACTTCTTATCTACTAAAATGGGTGTAATAAAAAAGATAACAAGTGTTCATAAGTATGTGGAGAAGTCAGAACCCATATACATTGTTTTTGGAAATGTAAATGATGTAGCTGCTTTGGCAAATGGTTCAGCCTTCCTCAAAATAGTTAATGTGATAGAGAAATTTATAAAAGAGAATGTTGGCAAATATAGCTATAATAAAGGTTCTCATTATTTATAAGACCTAAAATATTTCATTTAAATTTTTTAATACATTATATAGCAAACTTACTGTGCCTTATATAGCAGTGTTTAAGGATCATTATTTTAGTTTGACTATGCCAGTGCTTCATATTAAGCTTTTTACAATATATAATCCATGCTAAATACATATTTTGGTTGTGCTTTTCACATAAATCTTAGGATGAGAAATTATAGAAAGCCGGTTGCAAATATCAGTGGGTATTTTTTAAATTTTTGAGGGAATCATTTGTACATTATAACATGTCTTCAATATGTTGTTTAATTCCTTTTCATTGTGCTAAGATATGTCCCATTTTCTTATTTAGAGCACTTAGATATGGAAATAAAGACATTAATTCATACATTAAAGTGATTTCAAATAAATTATATGCGCTAGAACTTAAAGAACACTTAAATATGCACTTAGCTTTTTAAAAATACTTTTATTTTCTGTTATTGTAAGATACAAGAGTGGAGGTAGGTGCAAAGTATTGTCAACTTGGTCCAGTGCTCCTGCAGTCTGGGATTAGAGGCTGGGAATCTCAGGGATGATTATAGTACACCGTATTGGAACTTTTTGGTCAGAGAAACTTTCTGATCTACTTTTCTTTTTTTGAGACAAAATCTTGCTCTGTCACCCAGGCTGGAGTGCAGTAGCATAATCTCAAGTGCAACCCCCACCTCCCAGGTTCAAGTGATTCTCAGGCCTCAGCCTCCTGAGTAGTTGGCATTACAGGCATGCGCCACCATGCCCAGCTAATTTTTGTATTTTTAGTAGAGACTGGGTTTCACCATGTTGGCCAGGCTGGTCTCGAACTCCTGACCTCAAGTGATCCGCCTGCCTCAGCCTCCCTAAGTGCTGGGATTACAGGCATGAGCCACGGCGCCCGTTTGGATTCACTGTTTATATTTCAAAGCTGTTCAAACATAGATATACTATAACAAAAGACAATGCATTGCTTACACTCAGAACATGCAGTGCATTCTAGTTTTCAGTTCATTTTGCTAGTGCTGCTTTTGACCAGTTAATCTATTTTACAACCCATTAAAGGTTTGAGAACCACAGTTTTTAAAAAGTAATCTAAAGACAGAATAGTGAATTGAGATGTATTCTGAGTTTTTCTTCCTAATGGCCTTTTAAAAGTGTTTGTGTTTTGTGTCTGGTGAAAAATAGATCTCGTGCTAGGATCCTCAAATGAGATTTGGAATTTAAAATGTTTTTTTTTCTTGTAAATTAAAAACATTCTGTCTGAATTGAGTTGCCTGTGAAAGATAACTATAGTATAATAGAGTGCTTTCAAGGAAATTATCCCTCTGGCACTTAAAGTTTAATTAGACTAAGTTTTGAACAAAACTCATAGTAAAAAAAAAAAGTGGATAAAATCCAACTAAAGAATATGTTTACATTTATTTTGCTTTTATACTTTTTCATGAAATTTATACTGAAGTTTTAAAATATTTTAATTGCATCAAATTAATTTGCCTTATTTGCTACTAACTTTGTCTTTGATTTCGTATCTGTGCTTTTGATATTGAATGGGAAAAGACTTTTGTGCAACTATTTCACCAAGTATTTTTGCAGGGACACTTAGTCGGTCTGGATGAACCAGATTCGGGAGCTGGGCAAGAAGCTCTGCTTAAACAAGAGCAAGCAAAAATCATTCGATTCGAGAGACAAGCAGAAGAATTCCTCAATGCAGTCTTTTATAGAAAAGGTTGGTTTCAGTGAAGATGATATTTAGCATCTGCTTGTCTTGTATTATTAATCTCCTTAATTTCGATGTCATTTTTAAAGTTCCTCTTAAAAAGATTTTTCTTTATTGATGATATAATTTATATTGTTCTATATCCCTTGGGTCAAGTTCAAATTGGAATTAGGGTTAAGGTAAACCCTGTTTGCCACATTTAGGCTCTGACGTGATGGTGAGTTAATAGTTTAGAAAATTATTACGAAATTCTAAAAATGTTAAGCTCTCAGTAGTACTATATTTTGTTAGACAACTTATAGAGACAGTTACTGTTTTAATCACTGATAACTAAAACCAACTGTGGTTTTTTTTTTCTTTTAGTGATTCCAACCTGAAATTTCATTTGGAGAGAAAATGTAGTTATATCATAAAATTAGATTTGTAAGCATTTTTTTCCTTGATACAGTCTTGTTTCACTAAAATTTTCTATATTAAAATTAGGGAAATTATTATTATGTAGTAAAACTTTTCCCGCTGCATTTGAGGTGGCATTTAATAGCTCACCCTCTTGCATTTTTAAAATTTATCTTTCTCCTTGAAACTTTTGTAGGCATATTTTACATTTCTTTTGAAATACAGAAAAGTTCTTCAGTCATGGAGTCTTGAGGCTTATAAATCCTTCATAGAGGCATTCAGATTTATTCTCTATTCACAAAGCATAATTGCCATCAGCCAGAACCTTCAGGAAAGTTCCCTTCATATTGCCTTCTAGTGAACAGTCTTTACTTTTAAGAAATTCTAAATGGATTTATACTTCTTATACTTTTCCTCCATTTCCAAGATGGTGGTTACTATGATGGGTTCTAAAAGTTTCATACAAACTCTTGATAATCTTAAATATTCTTATTTAATCTTCAGCAGACTCAGTGATTCCATTTTCTTTAATAATTCTTTATATGTTCTAGTTTACACCTCTCATTCCTCTGGAAATTCCCTCCTTCCCTTTGACATTGGTTAAAAGTCTCGTAAGTGCTGGTTCTGTTGGGTTTCTTTACAGTTGGACACTAACTGGGCTTCTGCTTAATGTGATCAGTATTTCCAAAAGGTGGTGTGAAGTGCAGTGTCATATAAAATTAAGAAATGCACAGAGATTATTGTCTGTGGCACTTTTTTCCCCATTTTCTTCCATGAGCACTCTAGGCAGAATTAAATCGTTTAGTACATCCTTAATTCTCTGTAAACACCCACTAGCATCTCCTGACCTAAATCTCCCAGCTCAGTCTCCTATGTCTTATTATTCCTGCACACTGCTCAGAATTCCAAAATTATGTTCAAAATAATTGTTTTTTTAGTTTTATGAACATTTGATTGTTAAAAGCAAATTTAAGTATCAACAACTGGTAGAGCAGTTCTATCAGTTTGCTTGCCAAATAAAATGTCTTTGCAGCTCCTCTCCTGAAGGATGTACACAGAGTCATTGATCTGATGTGTTGTTATAGCAAGCTTCATTATCTGAAAAGAGGACTTCCTCTCCCTAATTTACGTGGAGGAACCACTTTTCATCCACTCTTTGCTTAGGGGACATTAATAAGGTCAATCATAAGACTCCTACAGAAAAGTTCTGTCGCACTTTTTTACTAGTCCCATCCCTTTGTTATAGAGGAATAACTTTAAAGTTTTTATAAAGTTTTAAGAAATTAAGCTTTTGGGTTATAACCTTTAGGGGAGGAATTCGTACCTCAGAATCAGTCTCAGGATAGATTTCAAAAGATGGGAATGCTCTGAAATTGTAAGTTGAGTTTATTTGTTTAAGTACAGGCATGTGATGCCCAGAGAAAGAACTCTTGCTCTGGAATTTGGATATTTTCTTCCCCTTTATGTATTAATATTGATATTTTTAGGTATAATTCTCTTGTAACCATCTCCAAGATAGCCATTAGTACTCTTTAAATTAATACCGAAAATGTTTAGTATCCAGGGATATAATGGACATTTTAATCTGAAGAGAATCTTTTGTTTTAATAAATAATTCAGATGCTTAGATTTGGTCCCTTGTTTCAAAGTATTGTAAATTCTGTGTTTTAAATAATTTGTGTAAAGATTATGTATAGTTAAGTAGAATCAGAGATGGAATAAAAGTAGGCTTTTATGATATGGAATCCATAATAAATTTCATTTTAAGAACAGTAAACCTTCTACAAATGTCATAATGACATTTCTTTTCAGCTTGCTTTGTCACTTGTATTAAAAAGGTTAGATTTGCCTTTTAAGATATACTGTGATGTAACATGTTTTTCTGCAATTTTATTTTTGATCTGATTTGTTGCTTTTATTTGACTTAGTTGTGCTGTGTTCCCCTGGGTGTGGATATGTTTGTAGATGTGTATTTTAAGTATGTCAAAGAATGAAATCTGTTCAGTAAATTTTCACAAGATAGAGAAATTCAAATGGCAGAGATGTATTTCATAAGCACTGTCTTGTCTCATGACTGTGTTTTCATTCAATAGAGAGACAAGATTCTGCAGACATTGAGTGCTCAAAGATAGTGGTCTATGGTCCTTGTCCTAATATCTTTGACTCTTCACAGAGCTTTTTATTAATACTACTTAAACACAGAGGCATCTCATAAATTCATAAATTTTATTTTACTTTTTGTATGGAAATTTCCTTTATGTATTACATGTTCTCCAACTATTCAGGGGTGAAAAGGTAAACTAATGTACTAAAACTTGAAATTTATACAATGGGTCATATGGAGATTTATGTAGGGAGAAAAATGGGTCTTAACTGGAAAGTTAAATGACTATTAAGAAAATTCAGTGGATGGAGATATTTAAAAAGCAGTGTATGTATAAAATGTTTATTAAAACACTGAGGAACCATTTTCAGTAACTGTAGCAACTTCTGAACCTTACCTGGTTCCATACCTTTATTTTTAAACCACCGGAAATACTTATAGTCTCTATTTATGGAGAGGACATTTCAAGTTATAAATACTGCTTAGTATGACAGAAACATTGTTACTAGTAGAGTGAGCCTCACTAAACCCCAGAAGATGAAATAAATAGCACAACTTTGTGAGCATCTTCTGGTATTGAGTATCATCCTTTAGGGGGAAAAAAAACCTGTTCTTAGGAGTCCTATGAGGTTTTGATGATGTATTTGTTTGTTTGTTGTTTATTGTGGAGATTTTAGATTTTAGTTAGTAATTAGAGTCAGTTTTTCTTTAACTTTATAAATTAAACTCTTAATTTGGAAGTTCCTTACAGCTCCAAAATACTGTGGGTAAAGTTATTTGCCTTCTATAGCTAATCTTTAAAAGACTAAAGAAACCTTGGTTTCCTGAAAACTGTCTTGGAAAGCCTCAAAGGTGTCTTGGGAAGCAAAGGTCACAGGTAAAACAGTAAGACCGGGGAAGAGTTTTAATCGAGGGTCTATCACTAATCATCTGTATAAATTTGTAGTGGCCACCTACTCTTTTGATCACATTTCCCTTTTTTTTTTTTAAGGACTATTTCATGTTGATTGACTATTTAGTATTCAACTAAATGGAATACACACTTTTTAGACCAGGCAAGATTAGGTATATAGAGGTACACAGAGGTAAACAAACACATTTTCTTCATTTTATTTTTTTTAAAAGGGCTATTTCATGCTGATTGATTTGATTGACCTGTTTAGTATTCAGCTAAATTGAATACACACTTTAGATCAGGCAAGATTAGGTATTTAGAGGTACACAGAGGTAAACACACACAGTCTCAGCTCTTGAGAAGCTTAGTCTTCCTGATTGACTATTATAGTGTGGTAATTATAGAGGCATGATGATAATATATTTATACAAGTCATTTTCCCTTTCATCTTAACCTCTTTTGCCCTTCAGAGTCTCTCCCAGTGCTAAAAGGTTTTTGAGTTAATGAGTTCTTATGGTCTAAACTTAACACTGACTAGATATTGATAATTTAGATGTTTATTTCATTATTTCCCTATTGTTTTACTAGTTGACAGAGTTTATTTAAAGTATCCTTGGAAAATATGTGGTTTTTCTTAGGTTTTTGAGATTTGACATTTAAACACCTAGCCCAGAGGTTCTGAAATTGTGGTCCCCAGACCAGCAGAATCTAAGAACTTGTTAGAGTGCCAGTTGAGTGCCAACTTGAGCCCACCCTAGAACTACTGAATCAGAAACTCTGGGGAGAGAACCCAACAATCTGTTTTTGCAAGCCATCAGGGTGATTCTGATGAACATTAAAGTGTGAGAATGGTTGCCCTAGCCTAAAATGGATCTGAAAATTAAGTATCTCCTTTTATAATCTTGGTATGCCTTCTGTCTTTAATATAAAGTAAATTCAGCACTCATGAACTCAGTAATGCATTCTTCAAATATTTAGGAGAAGGTGACTGAGGAAAAAATCTAGGGAAACCTGATGTGACCTATAGGTATGTTAACATGAAAGTAATTATTTCCTAAGAGAAGGGTTTTGGGATTTCTGTGTCAGGTAAGTGATTCTTGCCCAGAAGATATTCTAGTTGTTATCCCTTTATTTAATTTCATAATGTTCAATTATTATATTGGGGGAAAATGTTTAGAATTATTTTAATGAAAATTTTATTTTTAAAAATCGACAACTCAAAAGCTTAGAAAATATAAGTCAAAGGGGAGATACTATTTTTAAGATAACTGCATTTTAAGAAAAATAAAATGAAATTTTATGTTTACTTGAAAGCTGTTTTTTCTAAGTACATTGTCCCACTTTAAAAGTAAATAAATCTTTATTTACAGACAGTCCCTGGGTCTCCGACCCCAATATTCCCCTAGTGGCCCGTGAGATCATGCAGCGAATGATCCAACAATTTGCTGCTGAATATACCTCAAAAAATAGCTCTACTCAGGACCCCAGCCAGCCCAATAGCACAAAGAACCAAAGCCTGCCGAAAGCATCTCCAGTCACCACCTCTCCCACGGCTGCAACTACTCAGAACCCTGTGCTCAGCAAACTTCTCATGGCTGACCAAGACTCACCTCTGGACCTTACTGTCAGAAAGTCTCAGTCAGAACCTAGCGAACAAGGTATGGTCTGATGTCAAGGTCTCCTCTATCTTATCAGAATACTTTAATTTAGGGAGAAAAAAAAAAGTGTTGGCAAGTAGAGCATCAGCAACAATAATAGCATAAAAACTAATGTGATTTTTAAATTATTTCTTACTATGCAATGATGGAGAAGTACAGCTAAAGTTGTTACAGCCTTATCTGTCAGCAGTTCATGGTCATGATTGATGTACCACTCAGGAAAGTCAGGTGGTTAACAGTTGTCACTAATCTTTCATTTGCTTGATATTTATATAAGCATTTTATATTTTCCATAGTATTTTTATGTTTTTTAAAACTCCTATGGAAAAGTAAGTTTTCCCCTTAACTATAAATTTTCTAGGACTAGCACCTGTCTGAGAAATATGCCTCTACTTGTAAGTATAAGTTATATGCTCTGCAAATGAGATCATAAGGAAAAACATGTATTTGAATTTTGAAAAAGAAACTACTAGGGTTACAAATAGAGAAAGCAGCAAAACATACTTTAGGTTGTTAAGTATATTCAATGTTTTATAAATACAGAAACACATACATAAACACACACAATCCACTGACTAACTTGAAAGTATTTCAAAAAGGAAATTTGTTGATGAGGACACTGATGAAGTTAAGAGGTTATCAGTTTTGTTTAGCAAATGTTTCTTGAGTCTCTGAAGTTTATTTTCTTCAGTAGATATTCCTGTTGCTTTGTGATCTCATTTTACCTTTAATTTACAAAAATTGAAGCAAGCATTTCAACTCAGCCACTGTTTGAACCACTACAAATTGTAAATTGGTGATGTCTGTACTAATGAGATTTTATTGTCATAGAAATCTTGAGTATACAGAAAGGTTATGAGATTATGTAGATTTATTGGTGAGAAATACATGCTTATTTTGGAAAATATATTTAATTCTTTTTTTTTTTTTTTTTTTTTTTTTTTGAGACAGAGTCTTGCTCTGTCGCCCAGGCTGGAGTGCAGTGGCCGCATCTCAGCTCACTGCAAGCTCCGCCTCCCGGGTTCACGCCATTCTCCTGCCTCAGCCTCCCGAGTAGCTGGGACTACAGGCGCCCGCCACCTCACCCGGCTAGTTTTTTGTATTTTTTAGTAGAGACGGGGTTTCACCGTATTTAGCCAGGCTGGTCTCGATCTCCTGACCTTGTGATCCGCCCGTCTCGGCCTCCCAAAGTGCTGGGATTACAGGCTTGAGCCACCGCGCCCGGCCTTACATTTAATTCTTAAATAACCTCTTTGAAATGAATTTTCTTTTGAGTAGTTTTCCTTTGCTTTTATCCTTTTCCTGTGTGGTGAACAGCAAACAAAATATCTGAGTTCTGAGAGATTTATTGACAGGAGACCTCCTCCTTGTTCACATTTCTCATGTACCTTTGGTTATCATATTTACAAAGTTGTATCTTTTTTATTGATGATTGTTTTCCACAAATTGGTAGTTTTCATTAAAGATCTCTTCACTCTAAATATTGCGTCAGAAGCTTCAGGTTTATATTAGGAGAATGACAACATAGAATTATATTTAAACTATTAATGGAGGTTAACATAAAATGATACCACTTAGTCTAATTTAACTGGTTATAACTACTGTTACACTTAAGAGATGATACATTATATTGACAGCATGCTCTTACAAAGAGGAATTTGAACTACATGATAGCATTATAGTATGTAGACTTCAAATGAAGTAAAAAAATTTTTAAATTATATTTCCTTAATGAATGTGTTTTCAACTAAAAAGCACAATATTTTTAGTGGTAGACTTAAAATATATTGCCTGTTTGATTAGACAAATTGACTATTTGACTTGTCTTTAAATAATAGTGTCTTTGGTTGGAAATGTTGTAAGCAGTACATTTGCTGCTTAGATGTATAATTGGGTTAGATGTCTAATAGGATAATTGGTTCTATAAGCTTATAATTATATTTTTAGAAATATTAGTGACTCTAAAGGACGAAACTCTTACTTATGAGTGTAGTGATTTTTTGTTTACAAACTCAGTTGCCTGTTTATTTCTAACAGCCTGAAATAAAATGTCCTCCGATACAATTTGTAAGTAGCTTCTACTCTGGGGTAATTTTTAATGTAACTAGATTGTAAGACCCCTCTGCTGGCCAACTGAAAGTCAAAGACATTGTGTATTATCTTATTCTGTTAATTTCGGTCAGAGTGGTAGCTTTAAAATATTTCTTTTCCAGGTATTTCAATAAGGAGAAAAATGTCTTTGAGGGAAAAGAAAGTCTTCTAATTTTATGTATTAACATGAATTTGCGATTTGGTCTAGTTGCAGTAAAAAATGGTTGTACTTCCAGGCTCTCATCAATATCAAGACAGTTTCATTCTTCTTTCTTTCAGCTTTCTTCACCAATTTTTAATGTCTTCTTAATTGAAAAATTCTTACATTCATAAAATCCAGTAATTGAATTTTGAATCTCTGCAATTTTTTTTAAAAGACTGAATACAGGCCGGGCACGGTGGCTCACGCCTGTAATCCCAGCACTTTGGGAGGCGGATCACCAGGTCAGGAGATCGAGACCATCCTGGCTAACACAGTGAAACCCCGTCTCTACTAAAAATACAAAAAATTAGCCGGGCGTGGTGGCGGGCGCCTGTAGTCCCAGCTACTCGGGAGGCTGAGGCAAGAGAAGGGCTGAGGCGAGAGAATGGCGTGAACCTGGGAAGCGGAGCTTGCAGTGAGCCGAGATCGCGCCACTGCACTCCAGCCCGGGCGACAGAGCGAGACTCTGTCTCAAAAAAAAAAAAAAAAAAAAGATTGAATACAAGTATACATTTTTTATAGTGGTCTAGAAAACTATTAGGACACACCCAAATCATAAATCATTAACTGATTCATCTTACAGACCATCTTGTTTAGTATATACATGTGCTTTAATGACAAAAACTTACATTTAAAAACAATTTTTATATCTTATTTAAAATTTTCTATATCCAACTTGTATGTACTTTTGGAGTTTCAGGTAGATTTAGCTCTTGAGGGATTTGGTTCTATAGTTTGTATGCCACTGTGGGACGTTAAAAACTTGTATGCTTTGATCAAGGAAAATTTAGAAAATGGAGTCTTAAAAATTCTGGTAACAGCGGACCTCATGCTATGTAAACTGCTATTTCTAGTATTTCATTATATCTTAACATCTTTAGTAATATGTTTTACCTTTTCTTTTTGCCCCATTAATAATATATTTAGCCCTTGAGGATATTAAGTATAACATGCCTTGCTAAATTTATGTTGTTTCAGGATTGAATTGATTTTTATAACTCAAATATATGACTAGCGTATCTGCTTAGTTGAATAAGCCTACTTACTGCTTTTTCATTTTTAGCCTACTCAGTTTACATTTGCTCCTAGCTTTTAATATCCTCAGGTGTTTCTTTGTGTCTCTGCAGACGGTGTACTTGATCTGTCCACTAAGAAAAGTCCATGTGCTGGCAGCACTTCCCTGAGCCACTCTCCAGGCTGCTCCAGTACTCAAGGGAACGGGTAAGGGAGAATATTTGTAGCCTTACACAGTTTCATATAGATAATTCATCAAAGGTTGATGCCAGTCTCCTTTTACATTTTAAAAAATAACACTTCTCTAAGTAAGTCATTTATAAATATGGACCATAGATCAAGTAAAAATGCAATCTGTGCAAAGTAAAATTGGCTAGTACAGATGAGTTTTTGTCAGTTTAGTACAAATAGTAAATAACCATGAGTATGGCAATTATTTCTTTAGACTTTTTGTTGTGGCATGTTTTGGAGTGTGAAACTCAAGTTAAATAATTCTAAAGTTTAGATATAAAGACATTGTTATGTGTGTTGAAGCAGTTTAATGAAAATTGAGCTCCAATACTTGGTATCTCTAGTGGGATTTGTGTGTATGTGTGTTCATTTTTGTTTCTTTTGGGTTTGATTTTGGTGGTTGATTTAAACTGTACTTTAACTCTGGCAGTTCAGAAAATGTAGTTTTCTGAAAGACTGATTGTAGATGTTGATGCATAACCATCTTAGGCTACCAAGACATTATTACTTGCTCAGTTTTGATAACTCTTAGGAGACTAAAGTAAATTCTCTGACTCCCTGATTTTATAGTATAAGAACTGTCTTCTCCCTGTGTGTATCTAATAACCAACTAGAAAAGTCAGATATTAATAAAGACATTCAGATACCATGTTGAAAAAGCATTTCTATAAAACTGTGTGACAAAAAATCAACTTTATCTAGATATGAAAAATAACTTGGTAAGTTTAAATTAGTTAATACTTAGTCTTATTTAACTTTCAGATTATCAATGTGGGGAAGTTACTTAGATATTAAAGGAACAAGTGGATGCTAAGTGGACTAACCTCTTCCAACTTACTGTTAACTACCTTCAAATAGAAGGATTCCTTTACAGACTTCTAAAATCTCCCTTTCTCTAAAATTCCAAAACTTTTCATTTCCAGAAAGTACTAATTTAATGCATTATGCATAGTTTACTAATCTTTTTCTTAACCCTTTCTTTTCACTATGGTTTATACTAGATATAAGTCAGCATGTTCCCAAATCTTTGGGTTCTATTTATATATCAAAAGATACTTGAGCCGAGTGTGGTGGCTCACGCCTGTTATCCCAACACTTTGGGAGGCTGAAGTGGACAGATCACCTGAGGTCAGGAGTTCGAGACCAGCCTGGGCAATATGGCAAAACCCCGTCTCTACTAAAAATGGAAAAATTGGCCAGGCGTGGTGGTGTGCACCTGTAGTCCCAGCTACTCAGGAGGCTGAGTTGGGAGGATTGCTTGAGCCCAGAAGGTCACAGCTGCAGTGAGCCATGATCACAGCACTGCACTCAAACCTGGCTGACAGAGCGAGACCCTGTCGCCAAAAAAAAAAAAACCTCGAGTTGTGTAATTTAAGGACACATGTAAAAGTCCATGTGCAGTTTGCATAAACACATCCTTTGCTTAAGATTCACTGTAAACTTGGCTACCAGGTTCATGTATTATATGGCTGAAGTTGCTGTTTTTGTCCCTCTGAATGGAAAGTGTTTTCTACTGGTTTTATGGAAGAAAAATGCACCAATAGGTTTGCCCATCTTTTAGTTGAATATTCAGTGTTATCCTAACTGTGTTACTGATGATAGTAGTCCCCATACAGTTTTGTAGAACATAACTGGTTTATCGTTTCTGAGAAGCCCTGTTTTACGCCTAGTTAATGTAATCACCCCCTTGGGCGTGTTTTGCCACATGTCAGTCTTAATATTGATAATCTTTCCCTATTGTGAAAGTCAAAACCTTATGAATTAACTTTGTCTAAATAATTGACTTTTTAAACATTATTTGAAAGCCGTCCATTTGAAATTTCAAAATAGGTGTTGGTATTTCAAGAAGGGAGTTTTTTTTTTTAAGCCAGAGAAAACTGCTAAAAACTTGTTTATATCCCTCTGACAGTAATTACCTTGAGTAGAACTTAAGGGGTAAATAAAGAGTAATTTCTTTTAAGCTTGGATGATTTCAAATGGAAAATCATGATACTCATGTATCTGCAACTAGTAGTGTTTTAAAATGAAGACATGTGGTAAGTTATAATGCAGTGGGTCTTTTGGTTTGGTTTGTTGGGGAGTTTTTTTTTTTTCTCCTTTGGGGCTGTTAGCCATATATACATATTTTCCCCCCCAAGCAAAATAAGCAATATTATTTGGAATTGTTTGATTTTTGATGATGAATATCAACTTGTTTGTGGGATAAATGAGCAATTATCTATGGGTTCCAGTAATGTATATGGTTTCAGTTTTAAAACTAGTTGTCATGAATGTTGAATATATTGAATTAAAATAACTAATTTGGCTTACTCTTTTATTACTGTACTTGTTTAGTGGTAACGTCACATTGGCAACACAATTCTGTGTAGATCTATGGAGAGTGATGATTACTTTGTAATTAATAATTAAGATGCTATTTTCAGACAGTTGCGCGAAACTTTTTCTCCGAAAATTTGTGAACCCAACCAGAGAGACCAGCTGACAGGTTTAATTTTTCTTTGCCCAAAAAGCTCCTGATTTTTTTTCTTTTTCCTTTTTCCTTTTTTGTGAACAAGTTTTAAAACTAACTGCCGAGACCATTTTTTTTTTAATTTTAGAGAAAAATAAATAAATAACACAAAGTGATGTTACCCAAGCAAGGCCTTCTAATAAAGGAGTGGTCCCCTCACCCATCCCTCCCTACCTGTGCAAGTCCTGCTCACATCAGTTTCCTTCCATCCAATTAGGCGACCTGGGAGACCCAGCCAGTACCGCCCAGACGGACTTCGGAGTGGTGATGGGGTACCTCCAAGAAGCTTACAGGATGGAACCAGGGAAGGTTTTGGACACTCCACATCACTCAAAGTTCCACTGGCTCGATCCCTGCAGATTAGTGAAGAACTACTGAGCAGAAACCAATTGTCCACAGCTGCCAGCCTTGGGCCATCTGGATTACAGAATCATGGACAACACTTAATATTATCCAGGGAAGCCTCTTGGGCAAAACCACATTACGAGTTCAACCTCAGCCGTATGAAGTTCAGGGGAAATGGTGCACTCAGCAACATCAGTGACCTTCCTTTTCTTGCAGAAAACTCTGCTTTTCCAAAAATGGCACTTCAAGCAAAACAAGATGGAAAAAAGGATGTGAGCCATTCATCTCCTGTAGATTTAAAGATACCACAAGTTCGAGGAATGGATCTTTCTTGGGAGTCTCGCACTGGTGATCAGTACAGCTATAGCTCTTTGGTAATGGGTTCACAAACGGAGAGCGCGCTTAGTAAAAAATTAAGGGCTATTCTTCCAAAACAAAATAGAAAAAGCATGTTAGATGCTGGACCCGATTCTTGGGGCTCAGATGCTGAGCAGTCTACCTCTGGACAGCCATATCCCACATCGGATCAAGAAGGAGACCCTGGCTCCAAGCAGCCTCGGAAGAAAAGAGGGCGTTACAGACAGTACAACAGTGAGATACTGGAGGAAGCAATCTCAGTGGTTATGAGTGGAAAAATGAGTGTTTCCAAAGCTCAGAGTATTTATGGGATTCCCCACAGTACACTGGAGTACAAAGTAAAGGAGAGGCTGGGCACTTTGAAAAACCCTCCAAAGAAAAAGATGAAATTAATGAGGTCGGAGGGGCCAGATGTTTCTGTAAAAATTGAATTAGATCCCCAGGGAGAGGCAGCACAAAGTGCAAATGAATCAAAAAACGAGTAGGAATACTGTAGAGTGCCAATTACTGTACAAACTGGGTGAGCACTACTGCATCATTGTTCAGCTATCATTGCTTGCACGTAATTTCATTTACTGTGACACTTGTTTCTTTGCAGATTTTGCATTGACTTGTGTGTACAGAGATGAAATGTGCATTCTGAATGTTGCATATTTTAAATTTTTCATGTGCAGTATGGCTCGGAATATGTTTGGCCTTTTGCATGTTTCTCTACAAAAGAGAATTGAGTTACCTCACAGAGAACAGATACATGGAAGTGGACTCCTTGCCTGTAGAGCCTGCATGCTTTTTTGTTTTGGTTTGGTTTTTTGTTTTTTCTTAAGTTATATTTGTTTTTACTTTTTAAAAAAGAAGAGGAAAAAAAGCCCCCTTTTAGAAACTACGTCTGTCATACTGGGAGCTTTATCACTGCAAATTGGAAAGCCATCTTATAATACAAAATTACTCACATTTTTCATCTACGATTCAACTAATTGAAGGATTAAACTAAAGAAAAAACTAAGAAGAACAATGAACCTTTGAGTTTGAGAAATTTGGTTATTCACTGACATAATTATTGGGTCATTTATAGTTACATTTTATAATTTTCTTCTCACTATTAAATTTACTTAACAAATTAGCAAGCTATTAGTGCTCACCCAGAGGGGAAGGCGGTGGAAAATGTGCACACACTACCTTCAGAAATGCTTCAGTTAATTACTTTGAACACTACCTTTGCTGTAATTTCATTTGAGATTTTCTAAGGGTAGAATTTGGTCTCACCAACAAGTGAGGATATAGCCTTATCTCATGGAGGACGAGCTCCGTATTTACTCAGGAGCAGTCAGGGTACATTACATAAAACAATGGAGGATGCCTCATTTTAGCAAACTAGGTTTCTTTGTAATCTTCAGTCCATTTACAGAATTGATGTGCTAACTGACTGAGTATCGTTGAAGCAACTGAATTAAGATATTCAAGATCTGTTTATTGGGGATGGGAGAAATAGGGAAAGAAATGTGTGTAACTATGATATTGCAAAAGTGATACTTAGATTTTACAGCCTCAGTAGTCTGCCCAGTATCCATGTTAATGAAGGATCCATGTTTGTAGTGAGAGAAAAAAAACAACCCCAAGGTAACCTGATAAGATTTAGGATGCATATCAGTTCTAACAATAATTCAATCAGAAGTCAAACTCATTGGAATTCCTTTTTTAACTGATCCAAATACTAGTAGAAGGGTGGGAGAGGTTTTTGTTTTGTTTTGTTTTGTTTTGTTTTTTT